AGAAGATTACTGAACTTAAAATGTAACAATGCATCTGAAGCTCCACTAATGACTTGAGCATCCACCTTTTATACCCACTAAACCAAAACTCTACTAGAAAAACGCACCAACTCAAAGACTATGACAGCAATTAATCCTTCTGCACGGATGCTATAGTTTCAACGCTTGCCTCAGGCACGTCATCCTTCGCTGGAATTGGCTCAACTGGCTGCTCCGGAACCCTGAGTCATTTGGAAGGCAGTCCCCTGGCTGTCCGCTTTGGGGGCTTATGCTTTAAGGCTTTCCGATTTCGGGGCTAGAGCTTTTCAAAATGTGCCCTTGTCTTATTGCACTTCCCCACATTTACATGTGACATCCTGATTGGGATGCTAATAAATGAGCTGAAGTTGGCAGGTCACGTACACTTGAAACTTTATCCACGTCTCGGAATCCACGGCCCCTTCTACACAACGAAACCCTAAGCAGTCACAGCAGGAGACTCACATTTTTGAGAAGACCCTAAACCCTAAACCCCTCAAATTCAACGATCCAGAGTCGGCTCGTTTGTTCGCTGCTCTTCCTGAAGACCATCTGTCCCGGAGGTCGTCGTCGCTTCCTGAGGGGTCTAGTGCTGCATGGCTCTGCGTATTTTTTCACAGGCATTGGGGCACCTGACCATGTAGGCACCTAGACCATTCGGGGCTGCGAAGTCTCTGTACCAACCTCGCCAGAAATGGGCCTATGATGCTTGAACAAGAAAGGTATCTGCAACCCGAAACGCTGAAACCTTCCTCCAGTGAAGCCTCATTGAAATGCCATGGTGAACTTGATGTCTAGGCTCCTCTGCCCAGTGCAAAGCTGAGCATTTTCGAATCAACTGGCCCTTTATAATTTCCAGAATTGCTACAAGGCCCTAACAATAAACAAAGCGATTCCATCGTATAGTGAAACCAGCTAAGCCCCTAAACCACCATCCAAAACCCTAAGCCCTATCTGGCTCCAGCTGACATCCTTCTTCTGCCCTTCTCGGCAGCCTGTGCCACATCGTGAATTCCATGAAGGCAATTAATAGCATCGGCAAGTTCTATAGATCGAAAAAAACTGTAAGGCTTAGTGAGCTCGACAAACTGATCCATGCCTATCCCTTTATAACTATATTGCCACGCTTCAGTAGATAGAACATGGAACTCCCTGGAAAACTGTACCACGATTCCCCATATACTCCATATTCCATCTACTCTGGGGGGATCATCTAGTCCCCCTTAAGAAGATAGAATATGGCTTTGGGTATATTATAATAAGATCCCCATATACCCCATTTTCTATCTACTTTGAAAGGATTATAAGCACTCAGCCCTTCAGCCCTTCAGCCCTGACTCCTCTTGCTCGGTCTGGGGCTCGTTGGCATTGACCTGCCATTATCTACTACTCGAAGCTTCTCGAAACTACAATGAATATCTTGAGTTTAGAGGGGTTATATAGGGGTTTATAATGTACGCATGGTCATCTGCGTCTAGGAAGATGTGTGGGGTTCCATCGGGGCTTATAGGCGATGATCAGGCACGAAGACTAGCAATAGGGGTCAAACGACGAATGGGGTGAATTAGGGACATAGGAGATAGCGAATAATTTGCTACGCCCAATCCGAGCTTCCAACTATTGTGGGCAAACAAGCAACGTGCGGACAATTGAATAGTTACCCTTGGTGATACCAACCATGATTTCAAGCCTTTTGTGGCCAGAATTCACCATGTAGGCCCCTTGGAAAGGGATAGCGGCCGTTTATGGGCACCTTCTTCTGGCTCCATGCTCGCTTGGGTACCTACGTGTCAAAATTAGCTGCCATATCTCCAAAAACGCAAGAACTTTCCCTAATGAGAGCAGGATCAGAGAAAACATCCCATGCGAGAGCAATACCAGGGCGCCGGCACAAGAATCTTGGCTTCCCTCAATTTAACAAGGAACCCTGAAAAGTGGCCTATAGTCCCCATTAAGCAGATAGAATATGGATCTGGGTATATTCTGATAAGACCCGCATATACACCATATTCTATCTACTTAAGGGGTAGCTTTTTATTCTAGGAAATGAGTGGGCTCGTTGCGCTGAATCGGCTCGCGCGAAACGATGAGCCCTGTGCCTGATCTCTTTGGCATACGTGCCCGGGGGGCCCGGTGCCCCTTAATTAAGGGGTATTCCTTGGATCGTACTAGGGATCTTAACACCATTTGCGGTATACTCCTTACTTAAGCCATATTGGGCTCTCTGGGTACCCCTTACGCACTGCCGCCCCAACAAAATTAGAATGGATCTTTTTGTAGGCCTCGACAAAAGGGAGCCGAACCCCGGCGCAACACCCACCCCACAACATACCTACATACACCTGTGGTTCAAGAAACCAATGTACAAGAGTTCGCCTGAATTGGCTTTAGAAGCTTCCCAAAATCCTTTTGCCTCACCTCCAGACTTCCAGCCGTGCCACATCAATTTGCTGGGCCTCAAGTCTTAAACTCCGGAAGCCTCAGTGGCAATGCTCCTCCTTGGGCTTTCGTAACCCTAAGGGTCCAAGTAC